AACAGGATGACTTTCTGAATGGAGAGTAACTGAATGATGGGATTTTTTTTAGTCCCATCTTTAGCTCATCTTATTTCTCAGTAGCTAATCCTGGCCCTGCCTGACCAGCAGGAGGTGAGAGAGAAAGGCCAGCAGACAGCGTCATTTAAGAGGATCTGCAGTGAGCACAGGAACAAGTCCACTTCAATGCTGGACTGTTCCTGAGGAGTCACAACGGAGTGACAGCATCGCCGCAGGAAAATAGTTGTCTCTAGTGACGTGTTAAATCTTATTAAATATTAAATGTTGTGAAATTTTCCTGAGGCCAGCTGAGGGGTAGAAACCATGACCTGAGGCGACAGTTCTATTCACTCCAATGCACACTAAGCTAATTACACCACTGCCACGCAACACCCTCTTCTACTCTACTGTGTTTTTACAGCAGTGTAGCAGCCTATGCCTCGCATTACTGCCACCTTCTGGTTTATTTTACACAAGTAAATCTGTGCACACAAATATTTGGAATATTTTCAAAATTGAAATAAAAAAACCCAAACAAAACAAACAGGCAAACAAGTAAATACAGACAGAGAGTTGAATTCCCACAGACAGATATACCTGTTTGGTTTTAGTGGCCTATTACAAATGACTGAGGGAATTGCAAATTTCTGCATACTCTACCTTCAAGACGAAGCCATTTACGTCTATTGTGGCTGTTTTGTTTATTTATTTTTTACTCAGAATTTCTTCGAACTCTCACTCTAACTAGCCACGTAAGGTCACTATTTGAATTGGTGTCCGTCTTTTTATTCCTTCGTAATAATAAGCTTATTTATGACGAAAAAAAGCTAAAGCGTCCTTACCTCATCGCACGGCCGCACGTCTCCGTTCACTGACGTGATAACGGAGGTGATGGTGGTGAGGAGTAAAAGGCAGCGGCAGACGCAGAAGGAGCGGGCCGGGTCCAGCATCTCTCAGCTTGGATCGACAGATGCAGAATAGCCGCTGCGTGGAAACAGGATCATCCAAGAGGCCGAGTAGAGGTTAAATAAAGGGAGAGGATGCTGCCATCGGCCTGACTCTCTACCTCTGACTCTCCTCCTCCTCCGCTGTCAACACACATGATAGAGCGTAATAAAGACACTTCCGGTTACTATTTCAAAAATAAAATGAAACCAACATTTACGAAAAAAAAGACTTTTCCTCACAAATTACAATAACAACATTTTTAAAATTTACAAATTACAATAACATTTTTTTTAAAAATCAATGTTTACAGTATTATCAACAACAATATGTATTATTGTATTATTATGCATTTAAAATGTAATGCTCTCTTAAACAGAGCAATTAACTTGACATAAATATTATTAATATTGACTAGTTAGTCAATATAAAAATGCAAGAAATAAAATAATAGTCAAAATAATAAATTATTATTTACTTATATATTTTAAAAACATAGAAATGCGCGGTTCTTGTATGTACCAGAAGATGGCGGTAGCATCACCCATGTAAACCACCCACGAAGAATAAACCCGGAAGTGTCCGAATCAAAACAGTTGAATATTTGACAGCTTTCTGTTATCCTAGTGAAGCTTTTGGGTTTTTAACTTTATACGGAAACCATAAATGCCGGTCTGTGAAGCTAACAGCGCCACTTTGATGCCGTCCTCGGAGACCGGGGCAACATTTTACGTGACTGTGGAGGAATGTTTAACCGAGGAAAAGTCTTATTCTTTTGGGACAGTTTATCTAGTAGCTGCCGCCGTTGCTGCTTAGCTTCTGCAGCTAACGACTGTCGTTATTTCGAAGACTTATGGGCTGAACATGACCATATATAGACCGGCCACCGAGCTTCATCGCCGGTCAGACCTAGACCAACATGATGCTAAACAATAACAGGTTTCAATGCAGTTTGAAAGAACGCGATGAGTAAATAGTAAAATCGGAATTTAATGCTAATTCAACCTAAAATATTTAAAGAAAGAGCGTATTACCATCACAGTCGCAGCGTTGAAATAATTAATGTACTCTTGGTTTTAGGTGTAGATGTTAATAAAGATGTGTTATGTGCTACATCGGAGGCATTATTCTATTAACCAATGTCTTTATGACTGAACGACCCTTTCTGTCTGTTCATTTATATGTAGTAGAATTTATTTTATTTATATCGCTGATTTGATTGTTATTCTAATGTTTTCTTTTTGCATTCAGAGGACCAGAATGTGTGGTCATCAGTTCAAAGAATTTAAATCTGTCTGAATTTTGTTAGTATTAGTTAGATCTTGTTATTCAACTTGTAAAACCACATGTCCTTCTCTATTCTATTTATTTTGTTGCGCTGTTGAAGCGAGGTGAAGCTCATACCACCTGAAGGGCAGAAAAAACAGGTTACATGAGGCCAGATTTATAAAGAAAAATCATCCACGGTCATTTCATTGGAGCATAATACAATTCGATATCATCGACAAATTGTTCATCGAAGCTAAGCTAATTAAGCTCAGGAGAACAAACTTAAGATCAGCGTCATGTCGTCTGACCAAGTCATTGCCATCGTTGTTGAAGACAAAATTTATGAAGTGAATAAGAAGAAGCTGATAGAGAAAAGTGACTATTTCCGTGCACTGTACAGCTCTGGTATGAGGGAGTCCACGGAGGACTCTGTTCAGCTGCAGGGACTCAGTATCCCAGGTCTGGAGCTGGTGTTAGAGTTCATCAACACCTCGAAGGTCCAGATTGTTAATGAGACTCTGGAGGACTTGATTGAGACGGCATCCTTCTTGCAGGTCACCTCCATCCTCAAGCTGCTGACCTCAGAGATCCGACTGGACAACTGTGTGGAGCTGTACAGCCTGTCAGAGGTTTATGGAACTCACGACCTGCGCAATGCCTGCCTTAAATACATGAGCTGCTACTATCATCCCATGTTGAGGCGGTCTGAGTTCAGAAGCCTCCCCTCAGCTGTTCAAGTCCAGGCCAGGGAGATGCGCATGAAAGGCACAGCCACCCTGGTGGCCATTGGAGACTTTACTTGTCTGTCCTTGGATGTACCGGATCAGGATGAACCGTGGTCCATGCTGAGGTACGGGGAGGTGGAACAGCGGTGGAAACCTCTGGCTAATAACCTGCCTCCAGACATGATCAACGTCAGAGGATACGGCTCCGCTGTCCTCGACAACTACCTGTTCATCGTCGGTGGCTACAGGGTGACCAGTCAGGAGATTTCTGCCGTACACTGCTACAACCCCAGTCGTAACGAGTGGAACCAGGTGGCGCCACTCAACCAGAAACGGTAACTACAAAATCTGCATGTATGTGTGGTTGTGATGTCAGAGGTTGGTTGGACTCACTTTGAGCTGCTTTGCCTTCATTAGGTCCAACTTCAAGCTGCTGGCAGTTCAAGGAAAGTTGTTCGCTGTAGGAGGTCAAAGTCTGGGTACGGTGGAGTGTTACAGCCCAGAGCAGGACTGGTGGACCTGCATGTCCTCCATGCCTGACCCGCTGGCGGAGTTTTCTGCCTGTGAATGCCAAGGAATGATCTACGTCATGGGCGGTTATACTTCAAGAGGTTGGTAGAAGCCACACAGCAATGTTCAGTTCAGAACCATGTTGGTCTAAATGTGCCAAATGTTACTAAATGAACACATGGGGGCAGAGTTTAACACCATGCTTTTGAACCCTGATGTACTTGAGATCATTTTGTCTTAACACATTCAAAACATTATTACATGTGCAATGTTACATGTGTCTTCTTGCTAAAACACCTGAAGTCTAACTATGGTTCTGTAGGTATTTTTTTTCCGTTCTCACCATTGACTTTTCTTCCTGATCACACAGACAGGAACACAAACGTCCTCCGCTACTGCCCCACCTCCGACACATGGATGGTGTTCCGCTCCTGCTCTGCGCACATCCGTAAGCAGCAGATGCTCTCCGTTGAGGACACCATCTACCTGGTGGGCGGCTACACCCACGAGCTGGAGTCGAGCCACAGGCAGCGACGCCCCAGCCAGACGGAGGATGTGCTGACTGTGCAGTCGTACAACGTCTCCACAGGCGAGTGGATCCAGTTGAAGGAAAACACGTCCAAGTCGGGCCTGAACCTGACGTGCACTCTGCACAACGACGGCATCTACATCATGAGCAGGGACGTCAGCCTGCCCACCAGCCTGGAGCACCGCGTCTTCCTGAAGTACAACATCTTCTCCGATGCCTGGGAGGCTTTTAGAAGGTTCCCTGCTCTGGGTCAGAACATGCTGCTGTGTTCACTGTACCTCCCCAACACACTATGATGCACAGGAAGGAGCAGAGAGAGAGGAGAGAGAGACTGAGACAGACAGTGGAGGCCAACATGGAGCAGTATTGGGATACTTCACATTGTATGAGGTACTGCAGTGTGGTTGTATGAGCTGCTGCCATCAGACTGCCAGTGTGTACATGAGGACAATTAGACTTTAAGCACTCGACCAAAAGATAATTTAATCAAATCTACACCTGCTAAAATGTACGGCGCAAGAACCGAGACATTTGTTCTCTTTTTTTTTCTAGAGTTTGATTTGGGAGTTCTCTCAGCTTGGTCTCAACATTTGAGCAGAACGTTTCCCTCCCATTTTCCATAATTAGTCCAAATTTGAAGGGGGCGTGGTCAACTCTGTTACCTGATTGTATTGTGTTTGACCATGCCCCCTATGTTTATTGTTTTCCCTCTTATTACAACGCCTCCTTCATCACCAACTAATGATTTCTCCTTGTGACACTGACAAAATGAGGTCACAGTACAACAGTGTTTACTGAGTGGTTTTAATTTCCTCATGTCCCCACTTCTGGTCAAGTTTACAGTAGTGACGAGGATCCACAGCTCAGGCTGGTTCTCCGTCTCCGGCGGTGTCAGTACTTTGTGTGACAACACTGAACTGTTCCTATTAAACAGGCCAGTGTATGACAGGCCTCTGCCTGAGGCATTGATGAGAGACTTTGGCTCAAATGTGCCTCAACATAAGAAAAAAAAGCACTACATTATTAATCTAACTGCTCTGGTTACAAATACAAGCTTCAGTGTCAGGGATGATGATGACAAATCACCGTGGCCCATTGAATCACACTTGAAAACAAAAGCCTGTGTTGGTTAGGGTGAGTTTGAGTAGGAGAGAGTATTCTGGAATTAACATTACAGTTTATACCAGAACATTTAGGTTGTTTTTCCAAAAGATTTTAGATTGGTATTTGAAGATCAAGGTGCTTCGGTGAAAGGAAGACTTTTTCCCCACAGTGTGTGTAAATAACGACGTGTGTATTGATTATTAGAGCAACTACAACTTGTATACAGTGCCTGCCATTTTGCCCATGGGTTAAAATGCATCAAACATATGATCTGATTAGTTAAAGTTATTACCTCGGTTAACATGTTAATTTTGGCAATCCTACTTTAAATTCAATTACTAGCCTAAAAGTATGTAACACTTCAACTACATCCAATGATAAATATTCTTCTCACCGCACGATGACTTGGATTTAGAAGAAGGTGTAAATTAGAATCCAAAGACATGACAGACACAAACAAACAGGGCCGGCTTTAAAATGAACGAGGCCACAAACGTCGTCCATGTTTACACTGTTCACTTGACACTGGTGAAAGTCTGTTTCCATACGTCACTAAAATCAAAAGACATTTCTGTTACTTTGACTTCCTCTGAGTTGTACATATGCAGATATAAACAGTATCAATGGCTTTGGTTTTACACTGCCGCACTAACACCGACAGGACGATGGGGGGTGGGGGGCTTCACTTTATGAAAACTTGCACACTGTTTTTGTTTTTGTTTTGAACAGACACTCGAAAAGCTTAAAGGGCAATTCCTGGAAATTGCACATGTGCCTTCTGCAAACCTCAGTTATCGAAATACTTGTTATAAATTTTTATTTAAAAAAGAATATAAAAAATGCACAACATGCTAAGAACGACTGACCAAAACTGCTGTGTTTGATTTTCGTTTTCTGCTAAATGAGGCTGTTTTATTTATTTATTTTTTTTGTTTTTCAAAGGGTCTTTGTACTGTCCTTGATAAAGTCCTGAAATAAAGGATTAACTTAAAGATCCAACATCAGTGTCCACTGTTTCCTGAATTTTGGGATTTTTTTTTAACAATCAAACCTGCGCAGTGAATCACAACACCATAAATTCATGACATCAGGCTCAACAGAATTAAACATCTATGTAAACGAGACAGGAATAAATACGCTATCTGACCAACAGAGGGCAGCACCGGATTAAAAAAACCCCAGCTGTTTACCTTCAGTACATTAAACGTGATTTTTGAAAATGACACACTAATATATAGATATAAAATTTGGTATAATTATATACAGCATTTGACAAACTCACCACGGTAGACGAGTGGTCAGTGCCTTACAACATGATGGTCACTGTTTGATCCCCGTCTTACTGTGTGGACTTCTCATGTTTCACCTGTGTGTGGGTGTCACATGACACAGGTGGGAGAGATAAATCTAATTAACAGAGAAACAGGAGAGAAGAGAGACAGACAGACCTCACAAAACATTCTGTCGTGAGATTAGTTTTAAAAAACAACTTTCAAAATTATAATTAATATATATATGTAACATTGGTGAGGTTATTTTGTATTTTTAAATGTGTTTTAAACCAAATGCATCCAGTCCCATATGGTCTAGCGGTTAGGATTCCTGGTTTTCACCCAGGCGGCCCGGGTTCGACTCCCGGTATGGGAAGACAAGCTTTTAAGTGGAGCAAATAGGACAAACATAAATGGATTTCATTTTACATTCAAGTTGCCCTTGACGTAACCGCCTTCGGATAAGACAACCTGAAAACCTACAGAAACGTTCAAACATTCTGTAAAATGAATTAAATATGTTCAAAACTCAATGCTTTCAGTCCCATATGGTAGATGGATGGACGGATGTTAGAGCAACAATGTCTGTGACAGAGGATTGAGGAAAATCAATCACTGCCACTGTTGATCAGTTGCGGTTGATTTTCTGCTCTGTGAGGTCAGTCTCCTCCCCTCCTCTCTGTGACTCTTCCCCCTTCTCCCTCCCCCAGCGGATTCTGTAACACGAACCAATGAACTGCTGTAACTAATAACTGAATTTGCCCCGGGGTTTGATCTAATATAGATCACTGACAATTGTAGTCTGGTCTGAGTATAAATCAGATAATCATGTATCGTCTGCTCTGGTCTGATACAGTACAGCTTAAAATAATCGAATCTATGCAAAACCGATCTAATACTGTATAAACCGGTTGTTATCCAATCTCATTCACCATCTCTATTCCAGAAATTCAGTTTCTGTCTAATCTAATCTAATCTAATCTAATCTAATCTAGCCATTTATACATAGATTATCAATCAATTACTCATTAATGTTCTGTGGCGGGAGTTGATTTTTCACTTGTTACCTTCTCATTTCTAATGATGAAGATGTTGATGATGTCACATCTGAGTGTGAGCAAATCAGCAGTTTAACGGTTAACGCAGTGGGACAGCCAAGTGAGAAACATAATGTGCAGCGATAGAGTGTGAATTGGTGTGTGTGAGAAAGAGAGAGAGAGAGAGAGAGAGAGAGTTAGAATGAGAGAGACAGAGAAGGGGTGAAGGAGATATAGAGGGGGGAAAGAGAGACAGAGAGAGAGAGAGTGAGAGAGAGAGAGAGAGAGAGAGAGAGAGAGATCCAAGGGCGGACAGGGACTGGGGGGAGGAGAGAAAACACACTGCCATCTCTCCTCCTACTCTGTGAGAGCTGATCTGAAGGTGGAGGACGTGAGACGACAGGATCCAGGAGACACCAGAGACCAGGGACAGAGAGCGGGTCGTGGAGCTGCTGAGACAAACGCACACAGACCATGAGAAAAAACATACCAACAGACAAACAAACCACCAGGAGAATCAGAACCAGAACCGGAGACTAACCCTGAGAGGAGGACGGCAGCGGAGCAGAGAGGACACTGGAGTGTGGAGAACACCTGAGATTTATGGTTCCTGCTGCTTCTGCTGCTGGGACTGCAATCTTCACAGCTTGTTTTTCCCTCCACTCTTCCTCTGTGCTCAAACACGCTCCCTCCGTCTCCTGCTCTCTGTGTGCGGAGCTGTTCTCTCTTTCTCTCTCAGCCTGGTTTCTACAGTCTCTCCACGCTTCGCTGCACACAGTCGCTGAGAAAACAAGAACTGAGCTCTATCACATCCCAGGACCATGAGCAGCGAGGCCAAGAAAGGTGAGCTGGCCATCAGGGACAAAGCCATCCTGCACCAGCAGAGGCGTCTGAAACAGGCCACGCAGTTCACCCACAAGGACTCGGCCGATCTGCTGCCCCTGGACGGACTCAAGAGACTGGGGACCTCCAAAGACCTGGTGAGTCAGAGACAGACTTCAGCCACACTCCAGGGTCACCATGTTAGTTTCATGAGGACCACAATTTGTTAGCAGTTAGTTAGTTAGTTGTTGGTGGAGTCAATTTTCTGCCGAAACTCTTCTGTCGTCAATTGTATGTCATCACGATTAGCTGAAGGAAAAAAAGAAAATATGTAGCATTACTATTTTTAATAAAAAACTTCATCAACAATACTGAAGGACAACATTGAGACATTCAAAGAAAAAAACTTTTTTTTGGAACAAATCCTTTCTCCATACATTCGATAGAAGTGTGAAACGTCAGATCAGGAAACTCTTCCTCGTTGAGGAGTTAACGGAATCTCTGAGTCGGAGTCAGAGTCCTTTAGTCTTCAACAGTGACCTACATTCTAGAGCTTTTTTCTACTTTGTCATCATTGTCACATTCATTATTTTATTCTTCAACTTTATTGTCGTCTCCTTCTTCTTCGACTGCTGCTTTTTTCTTCTTCTTCCTCTTTGTTGTCATCGCCATCACTTTCTTTTCAAAAAGGTTGTTATTAAACAAGTAACCAATTATAACAACATACAAACAACACGTGAAAAATATCATACAATGTTGGAGTATGGGTCGAGGAGTTCCCATAATGCTTTGTGGTTTGTTAGAATCTGAGTAAATGTGGCAACTCTGTTCAAGTCACCTGTGCTACTTTGTTTGGAGTTGGAGTGAAGCTGCAGAGTTCATAATAAAAGAGCACTCGTTTTTGTTTGGTCTTGACCTCATGAGTTATTAACAGTAAACATCAAGAGTCCGATCTAATAGGGCACTAAAACATAATTGATGTCAGTGGTGCCAAACTCCTGACTCGGGGGCCACTTTCTGGCCCGCCGCCCCCCCCATTTGCCCTCGAGGAAAAGATTTAGAAAAAACAGATATTTAATGTTTCCATTATAGTATTTTACATTACAATGTTCTGCTTCTGAGTCATAGATTCCTAGTGTATTCATTGGCCTTGACTCTGAGTTGAAAGTTGGAAATTTACACGCTGGAGTTTCCTCTGTGCCCGTTTTTGTAGCAGAGGCCCTGAGCTTGAACACACCTGCCATGACAAATGGAACAAGAGCATCTTGTCGACTTCCTCCTGCTCTGACTCCGTCATTCACACGGAGGGAGAAAATCCCTGTAATGACCTGAAACATTTATCAGGCTGCCTCCTGTCTGACACTTTGATGGCAGCCTCCCAGCTTCCCCGGAGCTTTCAAGGAAGAAAAGAAGGGGAAAAAAATCACACTAAAGCGCATTGGCAGAGGGAGGCAGAGTAGACTGAGCTTTGAGCTGCCAGGACTTTTATCACGTCAACACTGGCTGTGAGGAACACATCCCAGCTCCTGCCTGTTTCTCTGACTGATCGGCGTATTTCTTCTGTCTTTATCCATCGTTTACATAACCGTGAAGCTTGTGATCTTTATTTCGTGGCTGTTTTCTATGAGGAATAGATCCTTTCGTTAGGGGGCGGATCTGGACCGCAGGCCGGTCAGTCCAACTCCCAGTCTACCTGTTAATGTAGTGGGAAAAGATATGGTCTTGACTTGGTGGTCCTGACAACAACATGTTCCGGACTGTCCCGTATGTCACACACGCTGATGCGTTGACGGTTTCTCTTCAATAATGTTACTACTAAAAAAAATAAAGCATAATCATTTACACTGATTTGAATGCTTTTTGTCAGGGGTGGTCCAGATTTCCCAGTAATTGGATTCACCCCCCAGCTCCCCTTCCCCTAAAACCCTCCCTACTTACCACAACACACACACACACACACACAGAGCTACATTCTCCCCCCTCTGGCCAGTACTGTGAATGAGGATCATTACGTAACAACAAAGTTGTTAGCTGTCCTTTAGCCTGCGGCTAACACCATCATCTTTGACAACATCTTCACCATCACCATCATCCTCCTCCTCATCATCATCATCATCATCACGGTCATCCTCATCCTGCCCATGTTGTGGTGCAGAGTGAGGGAAGAGCTCAGAGCTTAAAAAGGGCGAAAATCTGCAGCATTCAAATGAGACTGACGGAGGAGAAGGGGGAAGAGACGATGGGTGGAGGGGGAGATGGGAGGACGTGCAGAAATTTGTTACGTAACACTAGTGCAGAGCCTGGAGTTTACAGATGGGGGGGTGGTAAGGGGTGGAGGAAATTAGGATGCAAACAAGCAAATCGGCAGGAAAGACACACACGCACACACATCCGAGTTCATCATGCAGTCACAGTGACCACCTGAGCTCCACTCACCCTCCACTCACCCTCCTCCACCACAGTCCTGTGTTCTACTGTGAGCTGAGATAAGAAATGAACACAGATGGAGCAAAATAATAATAATAATAAAATATATATACTGTATCTAAGCCATCCATCCTGCAATACAGTGGAAGAGTGGTTTGTACTGTTGCCTTACAGCAAGTAGGTCACAGTTCAATTTCCTAACTAAAGCTTCACCTGTATAATTTGCTCATTGTATGTACGGGTATGGGTATATCAGGAAAAAACCCACGGTACACCACCAAACAAAACTCTCACAAGAAGTATATGTGATGAAATATAATAATATTCTAGTTTGAATGACTCATAATTGGCTAAAATCTCAGCCTGTTTAGTTGAAGACAACATTGCTATACTGGCAGAAATTGAAGAAAGACACAAAGATCTTCTTCAGAAGCTTTGATTATCTATCTTTTTTAAGATTTTATGGTTAGTTTTATAGTTATCCACGGCACGCCTAATGATCTCTTGGCACATATAAATATATACTGTACATATACAGTATATACAGATACTGTATATATATATATATATATATATATATATATATATACATATACAGTGTATATATATATATATATATATACAGTACATCTGTGCTGTTTTTTTCATCCTTCTGCATCTGAAGTAATTGGTTTATTTTGGAGTAGAACTGCAAACAAACCATGACGGGGGATTCAGATGCAGCTGCTGCTGGTAATTAGAGAGAGATGAGTTTAAAACACTCTGTCTCTCTGTCATCCTGAACATAGAATGGGCGGCAACCCCCCGTGCCCCCCCTCTCCCCCCCCATCGCCTTGGCAGAACACAGGAGGCTAAAAATACCAGCAGACAAAAACAAACACTGACACAACAGCTCCCGACAGCTCAAGAGGGGTGAAGACAGAAAGGCAAAAAGGAAATAAAAATGCAAATAGTTCCAGTGTTTTCCCTTGTTTCTGGTACTATTTCTTACAGAGTTAGACTTACATTGTTCATGTCACTGACCTGAGTCGTTGGAAGACGTTCCTGAGCTGACCATAGTTCCTGGTACTGTCGGCTTCTGGTTCTTAGCCCCAGTGACCAGGAATAGTCCAAGGTACTGTCTTTAGTTCCTGGTACTAATGCCTGCAGTGGAAAACAAAAAAAAGTTATACACTACGAGTACAATTTCTGCTACTAGTCTTTGGGCTGACAACGTAGTTAATGGTAATGACACTGGTTCTGGTACTAATTCCTGAGATGGAAGTGCGTACAATTTGAAGCACTGTGTCGAGGTCTTGGAGTACCTGGTATTAGAGCTGCGGTAAAAATGTAAATGCACGTTAGTACTCCGTCCATGCTGGTACCAGGATATTGTTATTAGTACTTGCACAAGTTCGTGGTACTGTTCAAGTTCCATCCTGCAGTGGAAATGCTCTTATGGATTTCATTTCAGTGGGAAGTTTCAGCCTCAGTCTATTTTTCATGTTAAGTCACTACATGAAAAAAAAACCTCATTAAAATGTAATAATGATTAAAGTGATAATCATTACATGTCAGTGTAATTAGATAAAGAACATTACAGAGAGAACACATCATTAAACATCCACTTGGAACAGGGTCATCAGTTTATTAGATCCTCTCCTCAGTACCGATGGTGCTCTTACTGTTTTATTACAAATGGAATTAGTTCTGGTGCTAACTCAGGAAGGAGCGAGAAAGGAGACGGAGATGTTGGATGGAGACTGACAGAAGTGAGATCCACAGGCAGCAGACGTGACGCCGAGACGTGATGAAGCTCCCGGTGGCTGCGGCAGGAAGTCAGTGTTTTTGCAGAATGAGAAAGAGCAGAATTACCTTGGTCACATGACAGGCAGAAGCGTACAGAGGAAGGAGTCTGTCAGATAATTAGAGCGTTCACCTCCTCTGATCTGAGTCACAGAGGGAGAGCGGAAAGCTCTGATGATGAGTGTCTCATAATCACGGGGCTGAAAGTCTTTGTCTGGACAGTCCAGAAGATGTTGCCTTCTCTGACGTTGTTTTTCCCTTTATGTATATGATTTCTTTTCTTTTTTAAAGTCACGTTAGGGTCTTTGGATGCATTTTTAATTTCTGCAGCATATGCAGCCACCCGACAAATCTCTTCAACCAACTACAGTTCATACACCGCGTTACAGGAAAGAGGAAGTACTGTAGTAAAACCACATCACACCTGTCAGTTAAAGACAGATATTCTATTCATTGATCTCTGGATACATTAGGAGTGTGCATTAGATTGCTGATTTACTTTTTTTTGTATATTACTCTTTCAACATTTCAAAAACAATGTGTAATGTAAATAAAATTGTGATAAAATATAACATTAGTTCTTCAATATGTGCAATAAAGGATTCATGTTTTACATGTTGCATATATTTGATTAGAAAAATACAATTTTGAATTTATTTTTTCCAAAAATCTGAACTACATGACACAAAAATTATTTTTCTACAAAAATTCTCAAAATGCTATATTGAGAGAGGGAGATGGGGGGGGGGGGGGGGGTCTTTTTCGCGGTTTTGAAGTGTACCAATGGGCAAAACCCACACACACTTTCCAGTCGTTCCTCTCTGATCTGCACTGCCTACTTCTATATAAGTAGGCAGTGCAGCAACTGTGAAACAAACTGTGAAACAACCACAGAGCAGCCTGTGATTAAACCAGGATCCTGTCTGGGTCTAAAATATTCACCCTGACTTCTAAGACACATTGTCTTGCAGCAAAGTAAATGTCAGACGGAATTTTAAAAAGGGCTTGTGTGTGTGTGTGTAGCTGTAGGTGTATAAATTTGACTGAGACAAAGAGGAATTCTTTTTTTAAAATGACGTTCTTTTTACTTTAATTAAACGCCTACAGTGTATATTTGAGTCTAAACCCCGTTTCAAAACATTTTAAAGACATTTCTATTTATGCAGTAGCTCTGTTAGCTCTGTCTTTTACGCGAAGTTTGAACCGGAAAGCTTAGCGCAGCTGCTAATTTAGCACAGCGCTAAATGAACCGTAGCCATTACATGTTAACTCTTAGGGGGTTTGCGGAAAGTGCGTTGTCAAATGTAACAACACAGGGACAGACAGACTCTAAGGCTGTTCAACTTTAGTGAGTCTACATATTAACATCATAGTAATGTTGAAGTGACTGCTGTACTAACCACTGACGAACATCCAGGTTCATCCCAGACTCTTCATCTTCTTCTACCTCTGGCTCGAACACATACTCTTGGGCCACAGTTTGTATCCAGACTGCCATTTTTTTCCCTCACTGCTAAACCGTTGCCATGGTTACGTGAAGCCGCCCTCTGGTCCTTCCCTGTGGAAGAGTTTGACATTTAGTCGTTCAGAACACTGCTCTCAAACAGGTGTATTGATCTGGTTAATTTGCATGGATTTTTGCCTAATCTTAAAACGTCTGCGTTGTATAATCTGTCTGGAGTAGTAAAAAAAGTAGAAAAGTGGTGCGTCTGCAAAATCGACACTAACTGGACAGAGAATTAGAAACTACACCATTTATTAAGAATTTCATTTTTTTTTCTAACCATATTTTTTTTTCTCTTTTAATCTTTTTTCCGTATCCAGCTCAAACTGAAAGCCTTTAAGATAAGAGTTGTCTTAATGATTGATGTTAATCCCCAATCCTTCAGGTAATCTCTGGTCTCTGCAGGACCAGCCTAAAAATAGCATCTTTCAAGTCACCAATCAGATCCAAACGCTCGGACCTCCATCGTCGTACAGAAATGATTACCGCGTGGTTAACACTGACCTCTGGCCACTCCGGACGGTGGTGTAATTTTTCTGACCTCTCCTCCACCTCGGCGTTTGTTGGATGAATCAGACCAATCAGACGTTTGTCAACAGCCATTACAGCTGATTACAGAGGTCAGGCTCTCTACAGTGGAGGAAACACAGACGGAGACACATCCTGGACATTTCTCATATACTACACACAGCATAAACACACACACACACACACTGAGGGGTTGTCCTCATGAGACTAAACTCCAAACCAAACTTTTAGGTCAAAGAGGTCACAGGTCTATTCACACACATGTACCTTAGACTTAGTCCCACTTTTGTCTGGTTCTAGTTGACAAAATATCAAAATTATTCAATTTTATTTAAATTAAATTTATCATTAAATCAATAAATTAATATAAATAAATTAATGAATTATATTAAAATTTTAATGTCTATTTACTTGACTAAAATACAATGTGTAATACAGTATAGTCATGGTAATAATATTTAATATAAAAAACCCTAAACATAATTCTATTGTTGTAAAACAATATATATAATATATATAATATCATTGGCCTGCTGATGGTCACTGAACTTTTTGACTCTACTTTTCTATTTCCGTTTGGACAATGATCCATAATTCCGTGCAGCACGGAGTCATATTCCAATGGAATTGTCCAAATGATGTCAGTAAATGATAACGACAAGAGCGGAGACAAAAGGGACGAAGACGTCCTGTGAGAAGAGATGAAAGATTTGACCCAAAGGGGAAAGAAGAAAACAAGTGTGAAAGGAACATTTCAAAAAGCAACAAGAGGATGAGGAAGACGAGCAGGAAGACGAGGAGGAGGAGGAGGAGAAGTCATTACTGTCTGTTTATGGAGGAGGAGAAGGAGGATGTGAGGAGAAGTCATTACTGTCTGTTTATGGCTCTGCTGCTCTGCCTCAGCTGCAGCCTGCAGAAGAACAAATAGACCAAATCGAAAAAATCTCACCACCGATGCTGATTATGAGCTGTGAGTGCTGCTGTTCTGAGGATCGAAGCTAACTATAAAGGAAGGAGAGCAGAAACTCAAAGGACTTTTTATGACGTCCTTTGCTTTTTAGTGCAAATTGGTTGTTTTTTTTTTCTCTGTGCCATCAAAAAGCAAAAGAGCAGCTTTTTATCCTGTAACACTGACCAGAACCAGCCTCTGTGGGAGGATGTTACATGACGTTCTCCACCCTCTGATGCAGTGTGACATGAGGTGAAGCTGACACATAATGACAGCAGGCACGGAGCGAGACCACAGAGGCTCAGTCACGGTCAGGCGCCGACTCTGTGGAGTCGGAGAATTCCTCGGACTTGTTCCTCCTGACAATGTTTTCTCAGAGTTATTCCTTTTTCTCCCTATTAAAGCCCTCAGTCAAACACAGTGGTTTCACCTGCTGAGGCTGACACTGTAGCTGTTGTTTTAAATAAAGCAAAATGTCATTTAAAAATCTATTTTTTCAAAGACTTGCCACTAGGGATGCTACATCGATTATGTTGGACGATATTAGCGTATTAGCTTAATTATATAATATCGGTAAGAATCGTTATTGGTTTTTGCTCCGATAATGAAAACCCTATAACGTGTTTGGACAATATTGGCGAATCGGATATCTACAAAAAGTTAATATGGGACATCCCTAGTTCTACAAAAAGTTAATATGAGTTAATATGAAAAAAGTTAATATGGGACATCCCTAGTTGCCACAGCAGATCATTTGCCTCCATCTCTGACAGATCTCAGCATCTTCATCTCCTCCACCTCCAGCTCGGCTGTTTGTCTATTAAACACAGCCACTGTCTCTAAACCGTACATCATAGCAGCTCTCACTACCGTCTCATAAACCTTCAACATTAACTTTTCTGCATTTCTTCTGTAACAAATCACCCCGACACTGATTAAAAACCCAAAAGAATCAGGACAGAAACAAGGTCAGACACAAACGATCGTTTACAGGGTTCCTTAATTAGCTCATTAAATGTGATCAGCGTTGGGTTTGAGTATTTGGTATAAACACAGCATTCACACAGAAAGAATTTAGGATGGCCTACATCACCAGGTTTGGTTCTGTCACCATCTTCACCCATGAGAATTTACTTATTTTTCAAAAGTCACCAGAACAAAAACCTTTGTACCAAGTGATGGTACATGATGTTGACAATCTTTCATATTCGGATACAAGGAGTAAGAAAATCTCACCAAGGTCAGTTAGTTAGACAGAGAAAAAAACAAAAACAAAAAAAAACATCACTGTGGTCTGAAATTAGATGAATCTTAACACAAGGTGAACCAAGTTAGGTGAATCTTAACACAAGGTGAACCAAGTTCAACTACCGTTTATTAAACTAGGGAAGAACCTCGACCAGAACTGAATAAAATAAAAGTGAATCCTTTCAAGTATTACACAGTGTCGTCTGCGTGGTGTGTAATCCTTCAAGTTTGAATCCAGAGAAAGATATGCTTTAGAGAAACCCTGACAGAAAAAAAAGTGAGTACATGATGTTTTATTAATGCTGTGACTCTGGTGGTGTTGGGTGACGTGTTCTTTACTCAGTCTGAACCACAGCAGCAGCAGTAATGTGGTTATGGAGGCACAGACAGATGGAACATGCTAGAGGTAGAGGCAAGCCTTGTACCAACATTTGCCACCGTGTGGCCCACAATCTGGTCCTAATTATCTGTGTTGTCAAACACAGTTATACTGTACCTTCTATAAAAGGCGGAATCTAAATGTAGCTAAAACCAAAACAAAATTCAATCAAAACCAACAAATGTAACACCAGATTTGATCAATAAATTTCCCCAGAAAATTTAATTTGTATCATCTCGGCTCCTACAGCAACCTCACAGCATCGTGCAGCGCCGCCTGCTGGAGGGAAACATCACGCGGCTGAGAGGGGAGGCTCGAGACATCAACGCCAGAGTCCGATCTCCACTGGCCGACGCCAAGGACGGAGCAGGGGACGCGGAGGAGAGAAGTGAGAGCACAGCGGAGGACTCCACGGAGGAGAGGGAATCTCTGGAGGAGAGCGAGAAGAGTCTACGATCGGACGAGGACGACGACTGTACAGAGGGCGGGGCTAGATGGACACAGAGCTCCGCCCTCCGCACAGCTCTGGTTGTTCAGTGCAAGGTAGAGAACGTGATTTATCTGTCAGGATGTTAAGTTCACTGAAGAGAAATGAAGGCCAGGATTTTGTTTTGTTGGGTCAGGAATTTAACTTTTTAAAATTCTATGGTTTGAGAGGAATTTTTAAAAGAATTTGACCTTAAAGATTTTCCTTTTTTAATAATCAATGTTAAAAAAAAGTCAATGATTTCCAAACGACAGACTTTTTTTAAAAAAAGTGGGGGGGTTTAAACCCTCAGATTGAATCAGAGTCTGAGATTTTAAAAAAATATATATAAAAAAATTACCTTTATTTTACTTTACTTTAAATTTAACATGAGTATTTTTTGGACCCATTGGACGAACCCAATCTGATCCCTGAACCCTATGCTTGACATCACTGACCATGACCATACATAACATAATTAAAACTTAACTGTATCTGATTTGGCTTTTAAGGGGCTCTGTGTAGTGGTTAAGTTTTTTGGGTTTTTTTTGACATTGTATTCTATTTAACGTTTCATGTACCAGCTCACTCTGCCATTCTTTGCACGTATCTTTAAAGAGCTCCTTTGTCCAGTGATGCAATTTGGCTTTTAAGGGGCTCTGTGTCGTGGTTACGTTTTTTTGGGGGGTTTTTTTGGCATTGTGTTCTATTTAACGTTTCATGTATCAGCTCACTCTGCCATTCTTTGCACGTATCTTTAAAGAGCTCCTTTGTCCAGTGATGAATAACCCAGACGCCTGTTTCTGAAGCACAGCCCATCAGAAACAGAAACTCCCATTAATAACATTCATCTCACTTTCCCACAAAATGAGCTGAAGATAAAGAATAGGCTCCAACACTGGTGTTGATCCTAAAGAATAATTGATGCTGGAAAATGTATGAACGTCGAACCAGCAGCAGCAGCAGCAGCAGCAGCAGCAGCAGCAGCAGCAGCTTTGCTCACGTTCATGCTGAGATGCCATATGTTGCACTGACACTGATTTTAAATGGTCAAACACTGCTTCATGTTGGGTTGCACTGCTTCCACAAACAAGTGGAATCCAGCTTTTATTAATAGTTTACTGATACCATGCAGCTGGTTAGTTATGGTTATACGTATTCTAGAACACTGGTGGTACATGACGGTTGTTATTTCACGCTCTACTGATGTTTTTGCGATAATTAACCACTAAAAAAAAACACAGCGAACTGAGTGATGAATTATCATTAGCATCATCCGGTTAGAACAAAGTCAGCATCGGAAACTCGACACGTCAGCAGGAGCGGGGGTGATTTTTTTTAAACTTCTGACACTGTTGGTTGATTTTTTACCGGGGTTATTAGACGTGTGGCTGCTCAACTGTAACACCTGCTGTGTTTTCTGATTCAGAGCTTCCGCTAATGCGTCGACAGAGTTCTGGTAACAGAACCTGATCAGGATCAACACTAGTTGGAGATGAAAAAGAATCCTTACCAGAAGTTCATTAATGAACTGGGATCATCTCCTGGAACACTGTCAAAACTCTGGTCCAGAACTTAGTCCATCTGTCAGGAATATTCTCGCTCCTCAGGAGTTGTCGCCTGGAACAGGAACAATTTAAGACAGGAAGAAGAATTACTACAGTTACTTTCATTTAGTTCCCAGGCTACTGCAGTAGGAGAGCACATGAATCCTGGTTCTTTCTAGATCATGGTACTGGTTCCTGTGGCAGAACGCAGGTTTGTAGTGACTGGAAGGTGAATGTTGAACATTTTGACTGCTTTCTGTTGTTCTCTGTATCCTCCAACAGTGTTGTGAGACCGAGGTCAAAGCCTCCATCAACACCGGCAACCAACACAACCACATCTCCAGCTCCTGTTGCCACAGGCTGGGGTAAGGAACACCTTATAGTAAACCCAGACTAGTACTGCATACTACAATGAATCATGGTTGTACTAGTAAAAACCATAGTGGCGTTTACTGTTAGCCATGCTAACTTCAGACCAGTGAAAACTGTTTTGATTTATTTGTGACCACACACAGCACCACAGAGAAGTGCTGCTGCTGTACTTAGGTTTACTAGCCAATCAGCTAGCTAGGATTTAAGGAAGTAAGATATACTGTTCAATAACAATATTGAACATGAGAGTGCAAGATTGAAAATGGCATCTGAGATTAAAAAAAATGTTAGCTTCTTGTGATAAATTTTTATTTCTATTTCAAATTTCCAAAACTGTTCAAAACAATGTAAAAACAAAGGTGTTTGTTTTTTAGACTGGTGCCAGTTCAGGACAGTTCTCAGTGTGGTGTTAGCAGCTCAGTGTCAGGTCTGAAGCTGCAGCTGGGGAGACAAACACTGCAGTGTTCAGCATATGTCAAAGGTGAGATTACCTTTCATTTTTACACAAACGTCCTGCTGTCTTTTTTCTGCAATTTAGCTAAACAAAATTAGCTAAAAATTAGCTAAAATGTTTGACAGTGACCTATTTCTGGGCCAGTATCTAGTTATATATTAGCTTAGTATTTGGCATTTTTTGGATTAGCATTTAACTGTTTCGACATGTGTAGCTACAATTGTTTTATTTCTGATTAGCCTTTAGCATTAGATAAATCTTTAAGCTGCTGTGCACTATTTTATGACAAACATTTAGCTTTTTTATATATTAAGCTATTTTTTTTCCTGATTGAGTATTTGTTTTTCTTCTGACTTAATGTATGTAAAAATTAACAATACATAGTGATTTATTGTTTTTACGCTGTTTTTCCCCCTGAATTTTCAACTACACCACTCCTTATCATTATGTAATTTGACAGTTTTTAAAAGAACCTTTTTAGTCTTTTTAGTTAAATTTTCACATGTATGTAAAGGTTGGTTATTTCTTAGCTATCAATTAGCGGTTTTTGACAAATTCAAATGCAACTAACAATTAAATATGTAAACAACAACAAATAAGGAAATGTTGCTGCGCATGTTGCTTGCGGGGTATTTAATATTTGCATTACAAAAAACTTGATGGGCCCTTACAGACATTTTGATGTCAGTTAATCAAATATTTTGCATAACAATCACCAAGACGCCCAGACTCCTTCATTTTAACAATTGCTGCTCTCAGAATTATAACTAGAAAATCACAAAGGCATGAATTATGCTGCTGTGAGCGTCTGCACCGTCTGATGAATATTGGCTTTAATTTAACAGCCTTAGCCTGAAGCCCGACCTCTTGAATTCACACTTGACTGTGAAAGTCTCATCTCACACACAGTATGTTTATCAGCGCTCTTTAGTTGAACAGGGAATTATGCACTGATTATGTCATTTTGTTAATGAAGGAATGTGAGGCACCTTTAATGACAGTTTTGTTCTTTCTTTTTTTTTAATTTTAGAAGATGAAGCCTTCGATTTGTGTCTGGGTCTGCAGACACTTTTGGAACTTAAGGTAAGCTAAGGCTCTCGTTTTTGTTATGTTACAGTTTGTACAGCTGGGATTTTATTGCCTTTGTCAACACTGATTTACACGAAACAACAAATCAACAAAAATGACAAACTAAAATGTGACACACTGTTACATTGATTGTTTGCCAAATGTTGCAGAAATGTCCTCATCGCAAAGAGTAATAAAATACAATTAGACTCTCGCAAAGAAGGTCATTATATTTATGTATTTGCGTCTTACCACTAATGTCTGAAGGTTTAACTAAGTGTTCTGTGGACAGGCTAGCCTGTTAGCGTAGCCACCTGCATTATGCCTCAGCTAACAATAGCACAGGAGAATGTATATAACTTGAATCTTACCACTCATGGTTGATAGTTTAACTAACATCACGTGGGTCTAATTTTTCTGTATTTGTCCCATTTTAAACCATTTTCAACAATGTCTCTGTCTTCTGTAAACTGGCTAGCCTGTTAGCGTAGCCACCAGCTTGATGCCTCAGCTAACAATACCACAGGAGAATGTATTCAAAGAAGAAATGCAGGGGTTTTATGCAAACATAAATAACTGGATAGTTTGTTTGTTTGTTAAATGGAAAATTGAACACTACATGAAAGGTACATCATCAGTACAGCTTATCTCAGCCCAGAAAAAAAACAAAAAAAAACATTCTGAAATCCTATTTCCCTGCGGTGCAGATGGAAAGATGATGAGGCTGAGTGAGGACACACTGTGAAATTCTAATTGTCCTCATTTTCTGAAAAGCCATTTAAACTCCACATTAGTACTTTCTGGTAAATGTGGACTTTCTTTTTCACAGTACACTAATGCAAATTGTGGTTGAACTGCAGGGCTAGACATGAACACGAGCTTCAACTGCTGGGTGAATTAGGGTTAAAGGACTTTTTAATGTTTAATTAACATTTTCCACTTACCCCACGTCGTAAATGCACTTAGCTCTGACTTTCACAAAAAGTTGTGATGAATGGCAGTAACCCTAATGACAAAGTTTCACTGGAATCTGTAAATGACTACGTGGTACAAGTGCTTTCGACACATTCACTTTCAACAGGACAAAAGGAGCGACTGAAAGTGAAGAAGCTCAACAGAATTCACAGAAACGAGCACACGTCCTGTGAACCACAAGAGAACATCAAGCAGCCAAGCGTCCTAGTTGTGATGAAGTTCAATTAACCGTCGAAATGACTCCCCTGTTCTGACGAGCGTTGGGTTTCATGAAACCAGTAAACAGGAAGTCGCTACAGAAATTTCCCAGAACAAGAGCGGCTCTAAGACCAATAGAAGTTCAAAAGCTGGAACTGGACTTGTTAAGAAAGGTGGAGACTAACTGGTGTAGACGGCTCTACAATAGAAACTTGAAACAAAGATTCATGTAGCTTAGAGGTTTAAAGTAGTCAAATCAACGAGAAAACATGCAGGTGAGTAGGTAGGCGCTGGTAGTCATACTGGTTTTAATATTAGGGCTGAAACTTTCATTAGAATTCTAGTACTTACTATCAAAAACATCAACCTAGTGACCTGGTACTCCGTACAGTCTGTACAGTTTAACCACAATGGTCATCTGGTGTTGTGTGCTTTCTGAGTTCAGTGTCTCATGGATAGTTCATTTAAGTAGATCAAGGTTAGGAAGTTAGGAGACATTTTAACATCAGGGACAAAGATAAAAAAATTAATCTGAAGACACGCTTAACGCTGAATACGCTAATGTTTCTTCTCTGTTTAACGTCCCGGTGGTGAGACGAGGAGTTTACACCTGACTAGCTCACCGTTTTTTCGAGACTCATTTAAAAAACACTGAGTGCTAATTTGTCTATTGAAATGTAGAAAACAGGCTACACAGTTCAAGTGACATTTCGTTAACTGGAAAGCAAATGAAGCAAAGGTTAAAAAGCTCTGCTCACTTTCTGTTCCGTTGTCCTTTGGTTTACTGTTATATACTGCCAGTTCATTGAACATGTGTTTAAACCAAACCAGAGGAGCTATCATACTTGGTCATACTTGGCTCATGTCAACCTGATGTACAATGTTCAGACGTCTTACCTTGTATTTCTGTCCTCTTGCAGTGCTGCTTGGACCTGGACCGTCTGGTCCTGAAGGTGCAGGATTGTGACGAGGAGCTTCCTTTCCTGAACCCTCCTGCCGCCGACAGCCAGTGCCAACACGACACCAACGAGAACCTGTGAGCTTGACACTAGCATCTTTAAATCCTGACCTCTGTGGTGGTAGCAGTGCGGCGCGGTGCCGTTAGCGTCTGGGTCGTCCGTGACCGGAGTCTTCAGGCTGCTGGGTCAGAGCACGGAGAAGAATTTACTGGTGTTTTTGAGTTTGTTGTGTTTGTAGGATTTCGACACTCACCGTTATAATCTCTCGTATTGACTTAGTCTAATCTAATCTGAGTCTAATTATTAATAAACAGATTTTTCTGAGGAACACTGAGATCAGGGAAAGTTACGGGATGATTTGTTCTAATGGATTATTCTTCTAAAATCAGCTCTTCTGAATCTCCGCCCCCAAATAATAAAACAGCGTTAGTCAGAGATGATAATGAGTCAGAGTCAGTGACAGAAATATGAAAAACATTCCATTCGCATGACTTTTAAACTTCTGTTTTCTACCTGTCAGCATGTCGGTGTGTTTCAGTCTGATTGTGCACCGTAGAAGGTCAGAAGAAGCTGGAAGATAAATGTGTGTGTGTGTGTGTTTTGGTGTGCATGATCTGTTTGAATTTAAGGGTCAACATTGGAGACCCTCACCAATCAGGACAAGCTGCCAAAAGTTAATCTGAACTGCCTTTCCTCTGCTTCTAACAGGACATTTTAGCTTCTTGGCTAAAGCTACGCTCTAGGTCAAGGCTTTTCTTTAAGCTAACCCTAAACCTCACACAGAGAGTGGTCTAATTTACCCGTTAGTGACCTTTGTTTTGTCATGTTTGATGATTTTCCTGTTGCCTAACAAAATAAGGACCACCTTACTACAGCGCCACCTGTCTCTACAAGCACCTGTCATACAAGTATGGTTCATAAAATGTTCTGGTTCCTCGAGCAGGTACTGCAGTTCCGGCTTGGAAACGTTTCTCCTCGTTGTACTCGTGACCTTCCCGTAAAACAGAAGTTCGTGTGACAGAAGATTATTTTTGGTGTTTCCCTAATTCTTCTGAACAGTATTTTCTCTGTCTAATAAAAATATGTATTCTGGCTACTTCTGTTTCTACTATGAAAACCTGACAGTGACTCACACTCTGCACATGGAGAGAGAGAGAGAGAGAGAGAGAAAGAGAGAGGTTTAAGTTCTATTTTTGAAATCCTTCTCAATGTCAGCACACAGCACCGTCGTTTTAAAAGACTGGTGGTGGGAGGAAGACCTTCATCAGACGAAGGCTAGTTCCCGTGGTCTCTGTTGGCAAAAGGCCTGTGTGTGTCCTTCAGTGGTAGATTCTGCTAAAAAAGGAAACTTACTATGTCAGGCAGCAGATGTTCCCACAGCTTTTCCCAGCTGACCTCTGTGGACCAACTCAACGTTCTGCCCTCTTGGTCCCAGGAGCAGTGGATGGTCACAGGCAGCGTCTCCTAAACTCCAGTGTTTCCCTCTTTACAGACGACCAACCGTCACAGACCCTGAAACTAAGATTTAAATAAAATAAAGAGATCTAACCATTCATGAGGCTCACACAAGGTTATTGTATCACAAAGGATTGTCTGCCTGACAATTATTTAAATTTTGAATGATAGTATAGTTGGCAGTGTTTGGGTATAATACGGCTACATTTGCCTGCAGGGGGCGGTATCCATACATTTGAAAGCTATGTTTGATGAGTTATAACGTGCTAACCTTAGAGAATAAATCAATATAAAACTAAAAAATGTTTGACAAAATGTGTATGAACAGTGTATTAATGTAAAGCTAAGTGGATGGACAAAAAAATGATTGAATTGGCGTTAAAATGCGTTGACATTTTTCATTTGATTCATTTAACAAATTATTTAAAGCGATTAACGTGTATTTTCCCATCCTTAATAAAAAAATGTGAAAACCAGATGCATGCATATAATCAGCAAATACACACACACAAACACACACGATACACACATTCACACGTGACAAAGCTGTTCTGATACAGTGAGAACAGGATGTGGTTTACAAAGTGATTCAAAACACAATTGAGGGATGAGGGGCATATTTTTCTCTGCTGAATTTAAAAAAAAAAAAAGAAAAAAGTTCCTCTTCCTGCTGTGTTGTCACCTCTCGCTCATGAACCCAGAATAGGTCTAATTATTACTTGAACCCTAAGCTACGTGTTTTTGTCAGTTTAGAACAAATAAGTGCAGGCAGAAAAACCTGAAGGTGTCAGTGACAGACGTTTGACGTGACCCTCACAGCCCACTCCACCATCTAGACCTTCTTCAGTGGGTTCATGAAATCATTCACTCAGCCTGGGAGCAGAAATAGCTTCAGGTCTCACTGTTTGCCTTTCCTGCCCATCACGCACACACACACACACACACAGGCCCAGTAGCAGCAGCAGCAGCAGCAGTCATTCAGAGCAGCCACTCAGTGGGAATGACCCATTGAGTGAGCCTGGATTGTTGAGAGTGGGAGATCAATCAGACCGTGTGGAGCAGCTGAGTGAAGACGCAGCTCCACACAGGCCTCCTCTCCACGACTACATTTAAATGACCAGCCCTATTGTTCAATCCAAACTCATCTTGAAAAAACCTGGTATCTCACTGAATCAAAGACTGGTTGTGACACAGCAGCAGACCTTCTTCTTTTGTTGTTTGGCTTTTGCTGCACAGTCACTGCCATTTAGTGACACTTTAAACGTAACATCTTCTTAACATCATTATTATCATCAATCCACATCTGATTTTCTATTTCCCAAATACGTCCCCTGTGGTTGCTAACTTTAGTGCAGAGGTGAGTTACTCTGTGGTGCTGTACACTGCCAACAACACCTAACACCTTAGTGGCATACAAATGCAAAAGAGCAATTAGAAATGTGTCAAACTGAACTACTTTGGGAGACATGAACAAATTACTGCAACAAGCGGTTGATGCTCTGGCATGTGCTAAAAATAATGGTGAACTGAGGCATATTTGACAAACCAATGAAAGATTTGAGAACAAGAACTCCCACGAACAGTAACATTTTCAAAATGGTGGTTTCTGTTAAAGTGGCCAGAATTTAAACAATGCAAAACAAGTTTTCAAGCATTTGTCATCCATGAACATACTGTATATATTTAAATATATAGACTGTATATAAACAAGACCCTATCCTGGTACAGACACCAGAGCTAACGTTAGCTACAACAGTCCTGGTACAGACACCAGAGCTAACGTTAGCTACAACAGTCCTGGTACAGACACCAGAGCTAACATTAGCTACAACAGTCCTGGACCAAACGGCTTAGCCAGCTCAAAATCCAAGAATCGTCAAATATTGAATAGAATGGCTGTAATTGCACATGTACCTGTGAATGTACGGATAAACAGAGATGAAAAGTAAACATTTTTTGTTCTTTAATTTCATTTTGATTCAGTCATCAATTAAAATTGTTTGAAAAATGATTGTAGCATCAAAGCTGTCTGAGCCAGTTGATATTCAGTTACTGTCTGGCTGCAGCGTGACCTGACACTGGAGGCTGTGGACGTTGTGATGATACAGTGAGCACGGGGGCAGCCTGTCACTTCATATTCACCTCACTCTGGAGATATTCCCTCCTTATACCAGCTGCAGTTCTTCTCAAACAGAGAAACCTTCCCCCAATCTGGAAACCCTGCCTTTTAAATCGCAGCGAATTATTACAATTTCCTTCTATTTAAGCCAACACGGTCTTAAGCTAAAAATAACACAGACTAAGGCTCTGCCAAGAACTCAGGAAAGACATGCCCTTAGGGAGTGCAGTTGTGTGGTTTCAACATCTATAGAGAGAGAGGGTTTTTTTAATAGACTTTAAGGTCAAGGTTATACAGTATCAACCTTTTAAATAGGTCCTGAAAGCAAATGTCAGAATTTTTTTTTTTTTTACCATAACAATTACAATTCCAAGATACAATTCTCATAATGGTTCTACAGGTTTTTGATGTTAAAATAATACGTCCGCTGATGCTAAAATGCTATTTTGGAAACGTTACACAACAACACATTTCCTCCTCCTGCCAAACCATCTCTACAGATGTCAAAGACAGCTCGACCTAAAGGGGCTGAAAATGTTTCCATGTGAAGATTAAAGGTCAACTGAACCAAGATCAGGTTATTATGCCCTTGTCTTTGCTGGGTCAAGATGTCCAACAGTCTGGGAATAACTGTGGGATTTACTGCAGAAGGAAACGTGGCCAAAACGAGTGCTTCAAGAACCTCTCTGGGAGAAGGGGAAAAGAAACAAGTGGTCGACTGAACAGGATTCATATAAGAAAAAACAAAAACAACTTTTTGAAGGAGCGCTCCTTTGACCATCCATGGTCATGAAATGGAAAATCAGTTCTTGATGTTTCCAGGGACAAACTGCAGCTGCACCAGAGAACTCTGGTGGTCCAAAGACTTAACAGCAGGCGCCGTGATTATATAATTAACTCCATCAGTGAGTCATCCTCCAACGTAAGAGGCTGCTTCAACAGAAACACACTCATTTGTCACCAGCACCATGAATCACATAATAACCCACTTCTGATTTGGGCAGTTGTTCGTCCTTTGCCAGGTTGCATGAGGTGAAAGGTCTCGAAACCTTGTTAAAAACTAAATAATCAAAGAGAAGAAAAGAAAAAAAAAGTAGTGGTTTGAATGAAAGCGTGTTATTTAAGGTTAGGTTTAAAAACAAAAATCACCATGAGATGTCACTAATTGTTCCACACATGCTCTGCCTAATGAACTAGAACGTACATAAGAAATGAACAGTCATTTCCATTGCCGGCAATGGTTTCTGTATTGGTCTGGTGTTGGTCAAAATTTCAGGATCAAACATCCAAAACAAAAAAACAACTTTAACCTGTCTGATCCAATACCTAAGCCCAAATGCACATGTTGTAAACACAATCACCTCAGTAATGGCAGCCCGTGACATGCTCAATCGCCTCAGTAATGGCAGCCCGTGACATGCTATCGTATTGATGGTTCTGTAATGAGGAGATGAGGGCGTGTCCATCCTGGGTAAAACCCTGGAGCAGATCCACGTCACACTGGGGAGATTAAATCTCTCAGTAGGGTTAGAGCTGGTGGAGGAGAGAAGATTATCTGGACTTGGTCACAGAATGGAGAAAGTGAAGGAAAGTGAACTTCTCCCTGGGGTGATGCTGAAGGATTCTGGGATACGGAGCCTTATTCCCTGGTTGACCATTAGCTGTTGGTCACGGGCCGCATGTTAAGATCCATGACGGAGCCATGTGGTGTGGGCTTCTGTCCAGCCGTAATGAAGGGGTTGATGTAACAGTGCTGATTACCGGTGTGTGTGAGCTCCAAATGTTGGCAGAGCAGATGGACTCAGCTGCTGTCCTTCAGTGGTCAGTGGTCAATCCATCCTGCAGTACATTCCTAGTAAATGTTAGAGTCAGGGCTGAGACTGCAACCTGTTCATTAGGATTAAAGGATTTTTTTTTAATTCCTGATGCCAGATTGGCTAAGACCATTGTGTGTTAATTGTGTGTAAATTGTTCAAGAGTATTTTGTTTTCATTACTGCAGTACCTCAGAGTATCACCTCAATATGAAATATGTTATTGTAGTCACAGTCAATAACAGATAGTCTGGTTAATGAAATGAGTGAGACTGTGTTTTAATTGGACCAGTATTTACAGCAGGTTTAGTCCAGTGGGTCCTATTGTTACGTCCGTGAGTCTGTGTAGAGAATATCTGCCACCAGAGCTCTGACTGCTGCAGGGTCGTCTGCATCTGGAGAGACGAACACAAGTGTACATGAGAGGATGATAACAGCATTGGCCATATTTAGGGTGCCCTCTGCTGGAGAGGGCAATGTTGGTACCTAGGGAGGGGGGGGGGGGGGTACTTTTCAAATAATAATAAATAATAATAATAATAATGTGAACTGTATTGATCCCACACTATAGAAGAGCAGATCTGCTGCCGCTACATTATGGTACCACTAACTGACCAGGCCAAAGAGATGTACGTACATGGAAAATCATTAATATATATTTACTCATATAGATCCAACATGCTTCATAAATACATTAAATAAACATTACATTAAATGCATACTCTAAGCCACAATGTATACAGTGACACTTTAAAAAACATTTAACCAGAATTGGAGTTGTTGCAGTTGGACTCACCGACTCCGAGCGCCTTGACCTGGTCTTTAAAACCTGGCTTTTCCTCCAGGAGCCGCAGCAGGTTGGTGGACTCCATCCTCTCCAGCTCCACCTTCCAGTAGATGTAGATTTTATGGTTGAAGCTCACGTAGACGAGGCAGGGGCTGTTTTTACCCTCCTTGCATGTGTATTGACCTGACACACACACACACACACACACACACACACACACACACTCAGTCTGAGTACAGCTGTGCTGTGATTAGATCTGACATGTGAATCCAAATGAAGACATCAGCCTCTTCCTCTCTGCTGCCTGGTTACTCGTGTGTGTGTGTGTGTGTGTGTGTGTTTGTTTATAAAAAACAAACAGAATATAATCTAATGTGTCTGAATGGCTCCAGACACACAGCAGCTGGAGCAGACAGTGATGCCACAACGAACCACAGATCTTTTCTGTCCTACAGTTCAAATGGTTTTGGGAAAAAGACGAACTTAAGAAGAGAGTTAACGTTTGTTTGTAAAATATAAAAATTACACCCAGTGGAAAAAGGAAAATCGGTGTTAATATTCACTGCTGTGACTCTGCAGAAAGACTTAGATCAGATGAAACAATGACCACACGTGTGAAGCTCAATGCTGCCCTCTGCTGGCTTTCATTTTTTTCAAAAATCAGAACGTTTACCCAATCTCTGTTTTTGCATCAGAATGTCTCTGATTTGCAGCTCGCAATAAAAACTACGAAATGATGGTGAAAATGCAACCAAACGTGCAAAAATGGAACTTTGGCTTTTGGTGTAGCGTTTAGGTTTGATTTAAGTTCTGTTTTCTACCTTGTCCTTCACTTTTGCTTCTAAAGTCAATGATTCGCTGCTTCGTCTTAAATCTGGCCTTTAAAGGGTTAGTCAACATGTGGCACAAAATATTGATTATTATACTGTGGACACAGTATAATTTAAATGATTAAAGATGTAGGAAAACTTCGACAAAAATAAATAAATGAATAAAAATACATCATTGACTATGATGTATTTTGATCTCATTAGCAAACAAAGAGTCGTACCAGCACAGAAAGCATTGACGTTTTCATCAAACTGAAATCGCACCACTGAACGATTGTGATCGATGATGTAGGTCTGACCGTCCCAGGCGCAGGCCACCACTTCCTCTCTGCCATCGCCCTGCAGAGACAGATTTCAGCGAGACAAATACAGAACACGGCTGGAGAGTTAATCGAATTTTTATCACAATCATGATTTTGGCTGCCACGATTAAATTAGGATGATCAATACGTGATTATTAACATTTAAAAACCAGGTTCTGATGCATATGAAATCAAGCACAAGCACTAAGGTCAAGAAGCAAAAGGTTAGTTATCAAACCTCATCTTAAAAGTCACACCAAAAATATATTCAACAAGAATAAGATCCAAAGAACTCACAGTGACGTCAAGTTTCTGCAGCGCAAAAAGCTGATGGTCCACCTGCACTGACCACAGCAGCTGCTCTGAGCTGTCCATCAACTTCAGAGTCCCTGCATCAACAGCATTACTGTTACTACTTTAATGACTCAGTGAAAAAAACAAAACAAAAAAGAAATATATATAATGAGCTGTAAGGATGTAACGATACACTCAACTCACGATACGATACAAATCACGATTTTTCTTTCGCGATTTGTCATTTTTGCATTATAATTTTTCGGGTCACTCACAAGCATAGCACCACCTACTGTACTGTAGTGTAGTCTCTAGACTCAGAGTATGACCAGTGAGTCTTTGAGATAACAGCTTATTCGTTTTTCCAATCGATTCGTGATGCATCGTTACACCTCTACTGATCTGTGGAATTTCATTTCACCATCCAATGTGCAGAGGGCAAACAGGCCGCATTTAGAAGACTCTTCCTTTGATCCTAAAAAAAATTAAACTAAATTAAAATTTAAAGATAACATAGCAAAAAAGACTCACTCTGGGTAAAAAGCTTTTTGAAGGAGCCATGTAAAGAAAAAATCTACCTTTATTTATGCTGCCAATAAGATGAGTGGAAACATTTTTATTATGAATCCGCCCAGTGGTCAAATGGAGGATTATGTCTCTAGAAGGACCCTCACTGCAAAGACAAAACATGCAATCAAGATGACTTTAACTGGTCTCATCAAAACGTATTTGAATGCATCCCATTAACAGTTAAAATGTCCGACCTCCCAGTAGTGGTGGGAGAATCGTCTCCAGAACCAGGAGAGTCTTGTTGTGTCCAGGAGCAGAGCAGGATGGCGGAGCCCCAGCCCGGGCGCGAGACCAACACG